ATGACGGATAATTGTACATTCATCCTTGCGCAATACACTTGTGGTTTGCGCCACGCAATCTGAATACTTTTATTCAAAACAGTAGCGGAACTATCACTGAGTGATTTACAGGAGTGGCCAAGAAGAGAGACACTTTCCCCATGGCGCACATCATCGAACTTTTCGTCGCACAGGGTGCCGATGTTAATGAAAGTTTTACGGCGAAATATTCCTTAGGTGTTCCCCCGTAAACAGAAGCAGGCCCTCCTTCACTGCCCCCGCCGTCTTCAGAATATGACGTCATCTGCCGTCACCGTCGAGCTCAACGAGGCTTACCGTAATCGCTCCTGAAGCTGCTACATAATTTCTTCAATGATTAACTGTTGAATAGCTTCCCAGAGACATTAGCTGTGACTGTGCAAACCGCTTTTGACCAGCGTTTCAGGGACGTCGTAATGGTCTATGGTACCTCGACGACCTCGTTGAGCTCGTACCGTGAACCATGTTTCCGTGGGAAAATCTTCTGATGTCGTCGGTGTAGAAGGCTGTCAAGTAACCTTTTGATAAGTTAGAATGAGCTCTTTAGCCCTTTGACGACAATGGCACCCAACGGTGGGTGCCACCTCAAAATTTCTTCTTTGTGCATTTAAAACATTTGTAACACCCCAATAATTATAAGCAAGTTCCATAATATCTAGCACGACTTACAGAAATGTTTACTAAGAGCTAATTTATATAGAATTTTAGAATGTGCCATTTAGCTCGCCACCATATTAATTGGGGTTTTAAATTATTAGGCCGAAGATTAATTACTAATCAGGACTTCTTCGTCTTCTCATAGCCTTCAGATATGGGAAGGGGTTTGAAGTGTACCGGAAATTCTCTTGGACACTAGAACTTTTAAGGTTTTGCCCTCCTTCCCTTTGAAACGCGAGTTCCCCGTCCAAATTTGGAATTCTCTTGAAAATAATTTACAGTATGAAAGCCTAGAACTGCAGTTATAACAGGTATACTGTTAGAGTCGAAAATTCTACAGAAAGATTGCTTCCAATGACACTTTTCCCTGATTTTGAGCAAGAACTAAGTTGGAGCATTGGATTCGATTCTAGCAAAGTGTGGTTAATGCTGTCTGAAATGTGTAGTCAAGTGTCTCTTGTTTTGGTCGCACCTGTACATTTAATCATAGGTAGTTATTGAATTATATACTTTGTAACTTCTATAGTTCACAAATCATAGTTAAGAAATTGCATTTTGTTCACAGTATAGCCGTTCTCGTGTGTTTCATCAAAATTTTTTCGGAGATCCTAAAACATAGACCTATAACTACACACTACAACATAGATATTATACAAATATAAGCACGACGCCGGAGGAGCAGAAATACTCCTCAGTCGATCCTTTTGCAGGATTAGGTGCGTTTTCAATCTCTATGGTGCAAAGTGTTGTAATCTTTTTTCCTACTATTATGACCCGAGCATTCAGTGCATTGGATTCTGCCCTGGTGCGATGTGGCGCACTCGGTGTTTGGTGTAATTTGGTGCAGCTTGGTACTTCATTCTGTGCATTCATCAGATTTAATCAATTCCGTTTTGGCCACGGCTGGTCATCTACTTCAATTCAGAATCGCGGCAACAATTCGAATGCAATTTTTTCAATTCAGTGACTCGCAGGGGCCAGGAATGTTGATTCCATGGTGTCCACATACATTTGATTGGCACTGTAGTAACCGTGAGCATGCTGATTGACCGTGCTATATGTAGAGTGAGTGTAGTCGCGTTACAACTTTTCGTCGAGATGACTTTGAAAGATTAAATACAAGCAGTGTTCCGACAGCGTTAGCCATCGGTTTCCTTCAATATTTCTTCTTACGAGATGGGCATGTAAAAGAAATTTATTTTGTAAAATATTCACGAAGCTGTTGTACACACAAGTGCGGAAGAAATAATTTTATTAAGGTGTTTATACTGTTTTCTTCTCCAGCGATAACGTGATGGTGAAGAACCTCTATTACGACGAGTTGTTGTTATTTCTTCCCGCGTGTTGGTTTGTAGACCATGCCATAGCTGTTCACAATGCTCATCACAAAAAAGCATGCGAGCAACAACCAACGCATTTTTCTAAATCTATATTCTATAAGTAATGTAAATTCGTAATTCTTAAATATAATGTAATGTAATATTCTTTAATGTAATTCGATTTCTGATTGAAAGCAAACTTGTGAAAATGACAGAAATGTTGACTTTGAGCTGAGATCTATTACTTGAACAGGAAGGTCAAAAACCCGCTTTAATCTAGACATCCTAATGTGTTTGACTGAATAAGTATATGAACAACGATTATTGCACTTGCGAGCGATGAGAGGATCGCGTCGAGCCAGCCTTATAATCCAGTGGTGATCCACGTATAATAGTGTTTGAATGGTGAAGTATGCCACTAGCTGCGGTTATTCTCAGAAGGAGCCCAAGTTGCTTTGGGGTTGGATTTCCTCCCATGCAGCTCCGGGCCGGAGCAAAAACTTCGCTTCCAGATCAGAAAATTGTCTCCACTGTCAATCCAGGGCAGTGGTATCGCAGCTGAGTGAGGCGCGAGGTGCTGACCTGATGGCACTTGCCAAAACACCCAAAACCGAAACTTTCTCATCGATTCGACGAGCCTGCACAGAAGCCCACGGATTAACGTAATGAGTTATTCAGAATACAGAGAAAGAACAAGATGAAGTGGAGGACGTTTGCTCGCCCTCCATTCTGGCTTATTTGACTGGATTGTCCGTCTTGTGGGAGTTTTCCACTGAGCAAAGGAGGTGGCCATGGATTTTCAAGCTTTTTCTGCCATTGCTACCACCTTCAGCTACCTAAAATCGCTATCAGATTCTGTGGCGGCAGCATATTTTACACAACAGCTTTGGCGCCACTTTCATCCTATCTTTTTTTGATTAGCATAGTGACAAAGGGGCGGAAGTGATGTAGTGACAAGTGGTACGCTTACCACGCGAGCGGTATGGGGATCAGATCCAGGTAGTGAGTCGCCCGGGCCAACCAAGCCCTTCATCCCTCCGGGGTCGCTTAATTGGTACCAGACTAGTCGTGGAAGTATAAACACCTGACTTGTACATCGGCTGGCCCCCGCAAGTCATTGTATAGGCCACATCGCATTCAAACGCCACTACGAATGTACAAATAGGAAGTAGAATGCGTGCCGCATCCCAAAAAAGGGATTGATCAACGGCAAATGCTTTATCCTTTATCCTTTTAACTGAGTGCACGAGAGGATCATTTTGCACGTGATGTGTGTTCTTTATAGGATGGCACTCGTGCAACTGCTTCATGTTCAGAATCTATGCAATGCTGAAGATGCATTGTTACCTATCTACTTCAAGAACGAGACAAACACTCTTTCTTGTTAAGTGTCCAACCACAGTATCCACCCAGTGAGCAGCTAGACTAAGCCTCAAGTGCGGTATAGGGCGATGAAACTGAAAACGAATGGTTTGTTGTAGTACAAAACACATTTCCATGCCCAGCTTATATACTTAATCAAAAACTATATACGTATTCAAGAACCAATGTTCTCTCTATGCGCAGTGCTATTTTACTGTGTGCCATTATCAGGCTATTCATGTGAATGTCCGCATATAATTATCACACCGCAAAAAGACTTCGCATGTAATTATGGCACCTAGAAATATTCCCTAGATTGACTTTCGAATACAATATTAGCAGTGGCGATTGTATGAGGCACACATTGCAATAAGAAATTAGTGATAGCAAATATTATATCAGAGTACGAAATCAGCAGTAGAACAGGCTTACGATTGAAGCGTTTCTGTCACCCACCATTTCCTTGTGTCGCGGTGGAAAAACATTCCAATCTTACGCCTGTACCACTGCTGATTTCGTACTCTGATATGGTTGTTATCGCTAATTTCTTTTTGAATTGTGTGCCTCATAATCAATCGCCACTGCTAATTTCGATCGTAATCGAAAGTCAATCTAGGGAATATTTCTAGGTGCTATCATTACATGAGAAGACTTCTTGCAGTGTGATAATCATATGCGGACATTCAGAAGATAGCCTGATAATGTGACAGTAAAATAGCACTGTGCATGGAGAGAACATTAGCTCTTGAATCCTACTATATATAAGCGGCTAGCGTGTGTCTGTTGGTGTGTGTGTGTTTGACCGGAAATTCATAGCTCGAGTCACAGTAACGATAGCGCAGTGGTTCTTACATATGTTATAGGGGGTGGGATGGGGACACAAGTGGTACGTGATAGGAACTGATAACGACTGATAATAGCTGATAAGAGGGGCTAGAAAGCGAGCATCGCCAATTTCGTTTTGCCGTTCATATTGGTACTAGAGCGTCTATACTTACAAGTCTTATGTGGGGCGGTCCCGGGACATTGGTGTACATGATTGGAAGCGATAGCAACTGATAAGGGCCGATAAGGCGCGCCAGAACGCTGAAGTCGTCGATTCCGTTGCCTGGCTCGCGTTGACACCAGAGCAACCATACTTACAAGTGTTATGTGGGGTGGGACGGGGACATTGTTGGTGGGTGCCAGAAACTGATAACGATTGATAAGGGCCGATAAGGCGCGCCAGAACGCTGAAGTCGTCGATTCCGTTGCCTGGCTCGCGTTGACACCAGAGCAACCATACTTACAAGTGGATTGGAACGTTTTTCCACCGCGACACAAGGGAATGGTGACAGAAACGCTTCAATCGTAAGCCTGTTCTACTGCTGATTTCGTACTCTGATATAAATTTGCTATCACTAATTCTTATTGCAATGTGTGCCTCATACAATCGCCACTGCTATATTGTATTCGAAAGTCAATCTAGGGAATATTTCTAGGTGCCATAATTACATGCGAAGTCTTTTTGCGGTGTGATAATTATATGCGGATATTCACATGATAGCCTGATAATGGCACACAGTAAAATAGCACTGCGCATAGAGAGAACATTGGTTCTTGAATACGTATATAGTTTTTGATTGTGTATATAAGCTGGGCATGGAAATGTGTTTTGTACTACAACAAACCATTCGTTTTCAGTTTCATCGCCCTATACCGCACTTGAGGCTTAGTCTAGCTGCTCACTGGGTGGATACTGTGGTTGGACACTTAACAAGAAAGAGTGTTTGTCTCGTTCTTGAAGTAGATAGGTAACAATGCATCTTCAGCATTGCATAGATTCTGAACATGAAGCAATTGCACGAGTGCCATCCTATAAAGAACACACATCACGTGCAAAATGTCCTCTGTCACTATAAAAAGGATAAAGTATAAAGCATTTGCCGTTGTTCAATCCCTTTTTGGGATGCGGCACGCATTCTACTCCCATTTGTATAATACATTCATGGTGGCGTTTGAATGCGATGTGGCGCATTCAAGTAGAATCATTGCGGGGCAGCCGATGTACAAGATCATGAGTTTTTATCTACCTCCAACATGTCTGGTACCAATTAAGCGACCCCGGAGGGATGAAGGGCTTGGTGGCCCGGGCGACTCACTACCTGGATCTGATCCCCATACCGCTCGCGTGGTAAGCGTACCACTTGTCACTACATCACTTCCGCCCCTTTGTCACTATGCTAATCAAAAGAAACAGTATGAAGAGTGCGCAAAAATATGGCCGCCACAGAATCTGATAGCGATTTTAGGTAGCTGAAGGTAGGTAGCAATGGCAGAAAAAGCTGAAAATCCATGGCCACCTCCTTTGCTCAGTGGAAAACTCCCACAAGACGGACAATCCAGTCAAATAAGCCAGAATGGAGGGCGAGCAAACGTCCTCCACTTCATCTTGTTCTTTCTCTGTTATTTCTGAATTACTCGTTAGGTTAATCCGTGGGGCTTCTGTGCAGGCTCAGTCAGATATCGATGAGAAAGTTTGGCTAAGTGCCATCAGGTCAGCACCTCACGCCTCACTCAGCTGCGATACCACTGCCCTGGATTGACAGTGGAGACAATTTTCTGATCTGGAAGCGAAGTTTTTGCTCCGGCCCGGAGCTGCATGGGAGGAAATCCAACCCCAAAGCAACTTGGGCTCCTTCTGAGAATAAACCGCAGCTAGTTCGTACTATCACCATTCAAACACTATTATACGTGGATCACCACTGGATTATAAGGCTGGCTCGACGCGATCCTCTCATCGCTCGCAAGTGCAATAATCGTTGTTCATATACTTATTCAGTCGAACACATTAGGTTGTTTAGATTAAAGCGGGTTTTTGACCTTCCTGTTCAAGTAATAGATCTCAGCTCAAAGTCAACATTTCTGTTCATTTTCACAAGTTTGCTTTCAATCAGAAATCGAATTACATTAAAGAATATTACATTACATTATATTTAAGAATTACGAATTTACATTACTTATAGAATATAGATTTAGAAAAATGCGCTGGTTGTTACTCGCATGCTTTTTTGTGATGAGCATTGTGAACAGCTATGGCATGGTCTACAAACCAACACGCGGGAAGAAATAACAACAACTCGTCGTAATAGAGGTTCTTCACCATCACCTTATCGCTGGAGAAGAAAACAGTATAAACACCTTAATAAAATTATTTCATCCGCACTTGTGTGTACAACAGCTTCGTGACTATTTTACAAAATAAATTTCTTTTACATACCCATCTCGTAAGAAGAAATATTGAAGGAAACCGATGGCTAACGCTGTCGGAACACTGCTTGTATTTAATCTTCCAAAGTCTCTCTCGACGAAAAGTTGTAATGCGACTACTTTCCACTCTACATATAGCACGGTCAAACAGCATGCTCACCGGACAATGACAATGCTGCAATGCTAATCAAAAGTATGTGGACACCATGGAATATTCACGGGTCAGCTGAAGGTGTTTTTTGCTGCGAAACCTTCATCATTCAAGACCTCTTGGTCGATCAACTGTTGTGGTAGTTCTGGCAAAAAACTTCGTTATATTTTTTACAAGATACAAAATCTTTGAAAATTTTTTTTGTTCCCACCGGAACGGACACCCGGAAGTATTCCACCATTCCTCTTGAAGATAAGCTTTTCTTATGAAGAACTACACTCCCTAAGCACAATATGATGTTGTTCATGAAAACACATATGCTGTTGGAAGTTTCAATTTCATTATCATGCCAACAGGCTGCAATGCCCTAAGCTGGGTAGGTGCTGTCTTACTCAGCCCGTTAAACCTTCCCAACATCAGAACCATGATAGTTGTTTACGCTATTGGATAAAAGGTAAAAATGTAACGTGGGGTGGGGGGCACTCGTATCTATCAGGGGGAGCTGTGGAGGGGCACTCATCTCAATTCGAGGGGAGTTGCGGACGGGCACTCATATCTTATCAAGCATTGTCTTATTCTTCATTGAAACGGTGACCTACGACAACTATGTCACCTTTGTTACCCTTGTCACAGAAAGGGCTGCCACCCGTCTGACGCTTTACTTTCACCAAATCTTCTTGCGATCGCCATGCAAGCTGCCGAGGAAAGGGTCGTTCAACATCCGATTTTGTACGAAATCTTGGACCGGTACCTACCCTGCGACGCATAATCATTTTTCCATCTATCAATTTCCCGAAAACTCGAATATGGGGATGTTTTTGAAATCGATTCTACATACAAACTGTGACATAAATAAACACGAATCTGAATATTAACACGGAACTCCAGTTTGAGAGAGCAACAATTTTGAATCCTCATTTTTCATTGTTTTGAAAACTCCCGCTTTGCCTGTTACGCAATCGAATTTTGAAGTTATTAACCATAGAAGTTCTTTCCCTATAGCAAGGGCGAAAGCGCTGTCAGACTTCCGTAAAAGAAAAATTCTAGCAATAGAGACAGGAATTGTCGAAGTGTCAGCTCACGCTGTTAGTTTTCGAGGTGACTTTCATAACGGACATATTTCTCAAGGATGCTACAGCATATGACACTGGAGGAACCCTGGCTACTATCCGACCGAGAGAAGCGCCGTATCAAGAAAAAATAATACAACTTTATCCAATCGGGGGCGTAAATCAAAACTTCTTCAAATGTTAGTGTCTCAGTGGACACATTTTCAACGTGTTTTCACAACATGCTGGTGAAGTCTCGAAGGTAAGAAATACGCTTTTTGTAGGCGAGGAAATCGAGGCACTTTCCCTAAAAAAATTTGCGAAGTAGAGCAATGTGCAAACACTTTTTTATCTGCATTACTTTGTAACCTCTGACCATAATCCTGGTCTTCTTCTTCTCCCTACAAGTTTGCTACGAAGTAAAAAAACGATCTGAGAGAGAAAAACCTCAAAAGAAAGATACACGCTAATAAAAATCTCAAATCAAAGAATGTCCCCGCTTCAATCGAGTTGGCAAAACTTTCTAAGGAAAATGGCTCGTTTTTCTCTATGACTCCCTTTGACAAGAAGCGTATTACTTATCTTCCTGAAACGGACTGTTACGAGCGTGTTGGAAAACAGGTTGAAACGCAGCCTTTGAAACTTA